TACAGTCCCTATTTACAGGTAACATTCTTTCCATCGTGGCTGGAAGAAGCTGAGGTGTAGTCACCGAATATAAGCAAGCGATATGAGAATAGCGGACACAGCAGACATCTCCCGTCACGCAGGGTGCAGTCGCACCTCCACAGATCTCCAGTATCAGCTCTTGATACTGGTAATGGCTCAAAAGGGCCACCACTTATGGGCTATTCATGCCCGTGCCACCTTTCGGGTGGCTTAATCTTCATCAATCAATCAATCGAATAGCCAACAGTACAATTTCCACAGTCAAGAATGTAGCACTCAGCGTATGCAGTTCTAATCGACCCCAAGACGCTACAGCTTGGACACAGAGCAGGCAGCAGACTAGGACCTCATCGAGCTACAACGCTCCCCCACATAGAGCTCCACGACTCCGGCCTCACTCAGCTCTCTGCTCTGCTCCAAGCTCCGTCTCAACGTCTACGACACTGCTGTATCCAGGACTACTAAATAAATATGAAGCTCACTAAACACCGTGTATCTAATCTACTCAACAACGTAACGTAATCGTTTTTTACAGGTGTAGGCAGCATGATAGAGCCACTGCATGGGTGTAGGCAGCATGATAGGCCCACTGCATGGGTGTAGGCAGCATGATAGAGCCACTGCATGGGTGTAGGCAGCATGATAGGCCCACTGCATGGGTGTAGGCAGCATGATAGGCCCACTGCATGGGTGTAGGCAGCATGATAGGCCCACTGCATGGGTGTAGGCAGCATGATAGGCCCACTGCATGGGTATAGGCAGCATGATAGGACCACTGCATGGGTATAGGCAGCATGATAGGACCACTGCATGGGTGTAGGCAGCATGATAGGACCACTGCATGGGTGTAGGCAGCATGATAGGACCACTGCATGGGTGTAGGCAGCATGATAGGGCCACTGCATGGGTGTAGGCAGCATGATAGGGCCACTGCATGGGTGTAGGCAGCATGATAGGACCACTGCATGGGTGTAGGCAGCATGATAGGACCACTGCATGGGTGTAGGCAGCATGATAGGGCCACTGCATGGGTGTAGGCAGCATGATAGGGCCACTGCATGGGTGTAGGCAGCATGATAGGACCACTGCATGGGTGTAGGCAGCATGATAGGGCCACTGCATGGGTGTAGGCAGCATGATAGGACCACTGCATGGGTGTAGGCAGCATGATAGGGCCACTGCATGGGTGTAGGCAGCATGATAGGACCACTGCATGGGTGTAGGCAGCATGATAGGGCCACTGCATGGGTGTAGGCAGCATGATAGGACCACTGCATGGGTGTAGGCAGCATGATAGGGCCACTGCATGGGTGTAGGCAGCATGATAGGGTCACTGCATGGGTGTAGGCAGCATGATAGGGCCACTGCATGGGTGTAGGCAGCATGATAGGACCACTGCATGGGTATAGGCAGCATGATAGGCCCACTGCATGGGTATAGGCAGCATGATAGGGCCACTGCATGGGTGTAGGCAGCATGATAGGGCTACTGCATGGGCGTAGGCAGCATGATAGGCCCACTGCATGGGTGTAGGCAGCGTGATAGGGCCACTGCATGGGTGTAGGCAGCATGATAGGGCTACTGCATGGGCGTAGGCAGCATGATAGGCCCACTGCATGGGTGTAGGCAGCGTGATAGGGCCACTGCATGGGTGTAGGCAGCATGATAGGGCCACTGCATGGGCGTAGGCAGCATGATAGGCCCACTGCATGGGTGTAGGCAGCGTGATAGGCCCACTGCATGGGTGTAGGCAGCATGATAGGCCCACTGCATGGGTGTAGGCAGCATGATAGGGCCACTGCATGGGTGTAGGCAGCGTGATAGGGCCACTGCATGGGTGTAGGCAGCATGATAGGCCCACTGCATGGGTGTAGGCAGCATGATAGGCCCACTGCATGGGTGTAGGCAGCATGATAGGCCCACTGCATGGGGGACTGTGACCGAGCCTAACCAGTCCAGACAGGACACGCTGGGGTCATACCTTAAACACGACTCACAACTGATGTCGTCCGAACACTTCCGGCACAACTGCTTCGCTGACAACTTCAGTTCGAACCACTTCCCTGTAAATGCTTCACCCACGTATTATAAATACAAATAATCACCAATAGAACCTAAACACCTAACCTAACCAATGGCTAAATATGCACAATATGGTAATATATAACAATATTAGTTTATATTTTGAGAAAATTACTGTTTTGAATGAATAGAATGTTAAAATTCATTAATGCGTCTTTAGGGTCGACCGCTGGATGGAATGGGCTTGGTCTGAGGACAGGTTGGTTAGTCGTGTGTAAACCGTTTTTCACTCAAAAACGGGGTTTGGCGGCTGTATGGAATCACTTTTGGCCTTTGTTTATGAGGACGGACTAGAGGATCCACTATTGCTCACTGGATTGGTATGGTATCTACGGTACTCACCTAGATGTGCTTGTGGGAGTTGAGCTTCGGCTCTTTGGTCCCGCCTCTCAACTGTCAATCAACTGGTGTACAGATTCTTGCGCCTACTGGGCTCTATTTTTTTTTTTTTTTTTTTAGATATATACAAGAGTTGTTACATTCTTGTACAGCCACTAGTACGCGTAGCGTTTCGGGCAGGTCCCTGGAATACGATCCCCTACCGCGAAGAATCGTTTTTTCATCCAAGTACACATTTTACTGTTGAGTTAAACAGAGGCTACAGTTAAGGAATTGCGCCCAGTAAATCCTCCCCGGCCAGGATACGAACCCATGACATAGCGCTCGCGGAACGCCAGGCGAGTGTCTTACCACTACACCACGGAGACTGTAAAACTCCGTGACTGATAGTCACGGAGACTATCATATCTACATTTGAAACTGTGTATGAAGTCAGCCTCCACCACATCGCTGCCTTATGTATTCATTCTGTTAACTACTTTAACACTGAAAAAGTTCTTCCTAATGTCTCTGCAGCTCATTTAGGTACTCACTTTCACCTGTGTCCCCTTGTTCGCGTACCACCCGTACTAAACGGTTTATCTTTATCTACTTTGTCAATTCCTCTTGAGAATTTTATAGGTAGTGATCATGTCTCCCCTAACTCTTCTGTCTTCCAGTGTTGCGAGGTTTAGTTCTAGCATTCTTTCCTCGTAGCTCATACCCCTCAGCTTGGGGACTAGCCTGGTGCGATACCTCCGAACTTTTTCTAACTTCGTTTTCTGTTTGACTAAATGTGGACTCCACGCTGGAGCCGCATACTCCAGTATTGGTCTGACATATGAGGTATACAAGGTTCTGAATGATTCATTACACAAGTTTCTGAAGACAGTTCTTATGCTTGTAAGTTTTACATACGCCGCTGATGTTATCCTTTTGATGTGGACTTCAGAGGACAGGTCTGGTGTGATATCAACCCCCAGATCTTTCTCTCTTCCTGATTCCCCACTGGGCCAGAAGCCCTCTGAAGGATTTCTTTATCCAGCTGGTACCTTGTGTTTGGCCTCTACTTCCTACGTCTAGCTTCATCACTTTGCACTTGCTCGAGTTAAACTCTAGTAGCCATTTTTTAGCCCATTCCTTCAGTCTGTCCAGGTCATCCTATAGCCTCTTGCTGCCCTCTGTCTTAATCCTTCTCATAATTTTAGCATCATCAACAAACACTGAGAAGAATCAGTCTATACTATCTTTCAGAAACAGGATAGGTCCGAGTATAGAGCCCTGTGGTACTCCGCTGGTGACAACACGCCAGTCTGAGGTCTCATCCCTCACAGTAACTCTGCTTCCTGTTGTTTAGGTACTCCCTTGTCCACTGGAGCACCTTACCTTGAGGTTACCTTGAGGTGCTTCCGGGGCTTAGTGTCCCCGCGGCCCGGTCGTAGACCAGGCCTCCTGGTTGCTGGACTGATCAACCAGGCTGCTAGACGCGGCTGCTCGCAGCCTGACGTACGAGTCACACCCTGGTTGATCAGGTATCCTTTGGAGGTGTTTGTCAAGTTCTCTCTTGAACACTGTGAGGGGTCGGCCAGTTATGCCCCTTATGTGTAGTGGAAGCGTGTTGAACAGTCTCGGGCCTCTGATGTTGATAGTTCTCTCTCAGAGTACCTGTTGCACCTCTGCTCTTCAACGGGGGTATTCTGCACATCCTGCCATGTCTTCTGGTCTCATGTGATGTTATTTCTGTGTGCAGGTTTGGGACCAGCCCCTCAATTACCTTACCAGCTTGTTTCTCCAACTTATGCAACAGTGTGTTATGGGGGGACTTTGTTGTAAGCTTTCTGACAGTCCAAGAAAATGCAGTGTGCCCACCCTTCTGTTTCTTGCATGATGCTTGTTGTTTGGTCATAGAATTCTATTAAGCCTGTGAGACACGACTTGTCATCCCTGAACCCATGTTGGTGACGGGTTACAGTCCCTTCTCACCAGATGTGCTACCAGGCTTTTTCTCACGATCTTCTCCATCACCTCGCATGCCATACAAGTTAAGGACACCGGCCTGTAGTTTAGGCCTTCCTCCCATTTTGTATATTGGGACTACGTTAGCTGACTTCCAACTTTCTTACTCAGTCGCTCACAGATGGGTATGGGGTCCTCTACCCCTCACAGGATGGATTTGGGATCCACTACCGTTCACATTATAGGGTGGGGGGGGGGGGGGGTGTTACTACTGCTCACAAGTTGGGTATAGGGTCCTGTGAGTTGTAGTGGACCCCATACCCGTCATGTGAGTAGTGGTGGACTCCATACCAATTATGTCAGTGATTGCGAATCCCCATACCCATCCTGTGAGTTGTGGTGGTGGACCTCACACCTGTCCAGTAAATAGTGGTGGAAAGGCTAGGTAGGGAGGCAGGACCAGAGAGCCGGCCGGTGGGTCACCTCGGCAGGAACGCAATAGGAAGAGGACCGGTGGTAGTTTACAATCTGGTCCAGAGATGGCGGTGCAGGAGCCTCAGCTGGCAGTATGTGGCAGCTGCGCGGGCAGGTGTTGACGGTGGTGGAGGGGGCGAGGGTGGCGTCTGGGTGTAGTTGAGCGCCAGCGGCCGGAGAGGAGAGGCGTTCCTCACCTCCCGCCAGTCATAACATGGACATTGTGCTATAGTTAACCCTCGACACACTCATGGCGCACTCTACCATCAACGGCCACCATAGCCCCAACAAGCGGGTGTATAAGGTGGTTCTGACGGGCGGTGAGTACCCTAAGTGACTGTTGGGGCGGGGAAATAGTGAGTATCGTGGCGAGGGAAGGTATGGTGGGGGTGAGCAGCGTGGCCAACTCCACCTTCCCTCCTCTTGAACCGCCGGCCGATATTGCCGCTGTTTTTGCGTCGTTGTGGTGATGTTTGTGCGTGTTGTCTGCCTCTATAACCACCCCCTGTGTGTACGTCCCTAGTGTTGCTCTGGCGGGAGACTTGCTATACCGCAAGTGTGTACACAGGAGCCTGGTACATGTGAGGACAAGTATGTAGTAATGGTTGTAGGTGAGGTGACCACAACACCCTCCGTGCTGGTGAAGGTCAGGTCACCCAGCCTCCTGGTCAAGGTCAGGTCACCCACCGTGCTGGTGAAGGTCAGGTCACCCAGCCTGCTGGTCAAGGTCAGGTCACCCAGCCTGCTAGTCTAGGTCGGGTCACGCAGCCTCCTGATCAAGGTCAGGTCACCCAGCCTGCTGGTGAAGCTCAGGTCACGCAGCGTGCCGGTGAAGGTCAGGTCACCATGACCTTAACAACCCCGCCTCTCTTCCCAACTTACTAGCAGAGTGTGGTTCCGACCCGTATATTATCACTCGCTCCGTAATGCATCGTTCTTTCACGAATTCATGCGACATTCTCTATTAAGATCGTCCAAACGTTTCTGTGTCGTACGTGACGGGAAATGTTGTATATGCAAATTAGTTTCTTGTTAAACTTGAGTACAAATCTTAGAGGAAGTCTGTACACATGTTAGCATCTTGACGACTTCTTCCACACGATCTAAAGACACGAGAAAACTCCTAAAAATATACTGTGTGACATTCATCAATGTTTCCCCATTATCGTGTTTTTCGAGAGATCCATAACCTTTAAGCACTTTTTGTATTATTTTTGTATCAACCCATGGATATCTTGTAACCATCAAATACATAATAAAGTACAAAAAAAGGAAGGGGGTGGTAGGAGAAAAGCACACCAACTGTATTGGAGGGGACCTAAACATTCCCTCTAATGCGTTATGCGTGGTGTCCTCCGAGGCTTTGGGTCCCCCTTCTTTCAGCTAGAGGTGGTACTCTATTCTTTTTTTTTAAATAACCATGTTTAACATTATATATATATATATATATATATATATATATATATATATATATATATATATATATATATATATATATATATATATATATTATATATATATATATATATAATACATATATATTATATATATATATATATATATATATATATATATATATATATATATATATATATATATATATATATTATATATATATTATATATATAATACATATATATATATATATATATATATATATATATATATATATATATATATATATATATATATATATATATATATATATATATATATATATATATATGTCGTACCTAGCAGCCAGAACTCACTTCTCAGCCTACTATTCAAGGCCGATTTGCCTAATAAGCCAAGTTTTCCTGAATTAATATATTTACTATAATTTTTTTTCTTATGACATGATAAAGCAACCCTTTTCTCTATGTATGAGGTCAATTTTTTTTTATTGGAGTTAAAAGTAACGTAGATATATGACCGAACCTAACCAACCCTACCTAACCTAACCTAACCTAACCTAACCTATATTTATAGGTAAGGTTAGGTTAGGTAGCCAAAAAAAGCTAGGTTAGGTTAGGTTAGGTTGGTTAGGTAGACGAAAAAACATTAATTCATGAAAACTTGGCTTATTAGGCAAATCGGGCCTTGAATAGTAGGCTGAGAAGTGCGTTCTGGCTATTAGGTACGACATATATATATATATATATATATATATATATATATATATATATATATATATATATATATATATATATATATATATATATATATATATATATATGTGTGTGTGTATGTCGTACCTAGTAGCCAGAACGCACTTCTCAGCCTACTATGCAAGGCCCGATTTGCCTAATAAGCCAAGTTTTCATGAATTAATTGTTTTTCGACTACCTAACCTAACTTTTTCAGCTACCTAACCTAATCTATAGAGATAGGTTAGGTTAGGTTGGGTTGGTTAGGTTTGGTCATATATCTACGTTAATTTTAACTCCAATTAAAAAAAATTGACCTCATACAGAATGAAATGGGTAGCTTTATCATTTCATAAGAAAAAAATTAGAGAAAATATATTAATTCAGGAAAATTTGGCTTATCAGGCAAATCGGGCCTTGCATAGTAGGCCGAGAAGTGCGTTCTGGCTACTAGGTACGACATATATATATATATATATGTCGTACCTAGTAGCCAGAACGCACTTGTCAGCCTACTATGCAAGGCCAAATTTGCCTAATAAGCCAAGTTTTCCTGAATTAATATATTTTCTCTAATAGTTTTCTTATGAAAAGATAAAGCTACCCATTTCATTATGTATGAGGTCAATTATTTTTTATTGTAGTTAAAATTAACGTAGATATATGACCGAACCTAACCAACCCTACCTAACCCAACCTAACCTATCTTTATAGGTTAGGTTAGGTTAGGTAGCCGAAAAAGTTAGGTTAGGTTAGGTAGGTTAGGTCGTCGAAAAACAATTAATTTATGAAAACTTGGCTTATTGGGCAAATCGGGCCTTGCATAGTAGGCTGAGAAGTGCGTTCTGGCTACTAGGTACGACATATATATATATATATATATATATATATATATATATATATATATATATATATATATATATATATATATATATATATATATATATATATATATATATATATATATATATATATATATATATATATATGAGTACAGGACCCAGGCGGTGTATTGTAACAAGTATACACGGAGCCTCTATACAGTAGGCCTGTGTAATTATTATCATGGCGTTTAATGACCTATACAACAATTTGCTATAAGGAAAAGGTACTCTTTTTAAAGTTATATGTATAACCCTTCGCGATGTGTAATCGTACACAGTACTCTTGCTGTATTAGGCACAGTACTCTCCTGGTGTATTAGGCACTGTACTCTCCTGGTGTATTAGGCACTGTACTCTCCTGGTGTATTAGGCACTGTACTCTCCTGGTGTATTAGGCACTGTACTCTCCTGGTGTATTAGGCACTGTACTCTCCTGGTGTATTAGGCACAGTACTCTCCTGGTGTATTAGGCACTGTACTCTCCTGGTGTATTAGGCACTGTACTCTCCTGGTGTATTAGGCACTGTACTCTCCTGGTGTATTAGGCACTGTACTCTCCTGGTGTATTAGGCACGGTACTCTCCTGGTGTATTAGGCACGGTACTCTCCTGGTGTATTAGGCACGGTACTCAGCTGGTGTATTAGGCACGGTACTCTCCTGGTGTATTAGGCACGGTACTCTCCTGGTGTATTAGGCACGGTACTCTCCTGGTGTATTAGGCACTGTACTCTCCAGGTGTATTAGGCACTGTACTCTCCTGGTGTATTAGGCACAGTACTCTCCTGGTGTATTAGGCACTGTACTCTCCTGGTGTATTAGGCACTGTACTCTCCTGGTGTATTAGGCACTGTACTCTCCTGGTGTATTAGGCACTGTACTCTCCTGGTGTATTAGGCACGGTACTCTCCTGGTGTATTAGGCACGGTACTCTCCTGGTGTATTAGGCACGGTACTCTCCTGGTGTATTAGGCACGGTACTCTCCTGGTGTATTAGGCACGGTACTCTCCTGGTGTATTAGGCACGGTACACTCCTGGTGTATTAGGCACGGTACTCTCCTGGTGTATTAGGCACGGTACTCTCCTGGTGTATTAGGCACTGTACTCTCCTGGTGTATTCGGCACTGTACTCTCCTGGTGTATTCGGCACGGTACTCTCCTGGTGTATTAGGCACGGTACTCTCCTGGTGTATTAGGCACGGTACTCTCCTGGTGTATTAGGCACTGCACTTCTGGTGTATTAGGCACGGTACTCTCCTGGTGTATTAGGCACTGCACTTCTGGTGTATTAGGCACTGCACTTCTGGTGTATTAGGCACGGTACTCTCCTGGTGTATTAGGCACTGTACTCTCCTGGTGTATTAGGCACGGTACTCTCCTGGTGTATTAGGCACGGTACTCTCCTGGTGTATTAGGCACGGTACTCTCCTGGTGTATTAGGCACTGTACTCTCCTGGTGTATTAGGCACGGTACTCTCCTGGTGTATTAGGCACGGTACTCTCCTGGTGTATTAGGCACGGTACTCTCCTGGTGTATTAGGCACTGTACTCTCCTGGTGTATTAGGCACTGTACTCTCCTGGTGTATTAGGCACGGTACTCTCCTGGTGTATTAGGCACTGCACTTCTGGTGTATTAGGCACGGTACTCTCCTGGTGTATTAAGCACTGCACTTCTGGTGTATTAGGCACGGTACTCTCCTGGTGTATTAGGCACTGTACTCTCCTGGTGTATTAGGCACTGCACTTCTGGTGTATTAGGCACTGTACTCTCCTGGTGTATTAGGCACTGCACTTCTGGTGTATTAGGCACTGCACTTCTGGTGTATTAGGCACTGCACTTCTGGTGTATTAGGCACTGCACTTCTGGTGTATTAGGCACGGTACTCTCCTGGTGTATTAGGCACTGCACTTCTGGTGTATTAGGCACTGCACTTCTGGTGTATTAGGCACGGTACTCTCCTGGTGTATTAGGCACTGCACTTCTGGTGTATTAGGCACGGTACTCTCCTGGTGTATTAGGCACGGTACCCTCCTGGTGTATTAGGCACTGTACTCTCCTGGTGTATTAGGCACGGTACTCTCCTGGTGTATTAGGCACTGTACTCTCCTGGTGTATTAGGCACAGTACTCTCCTGGTGTATTAGGCACGGTACTCTCCTGGTGTATTAGGGACTGTACTCTCCTGGTGTATTAGGCACTGTACTCTCCTGGTGTATTAGGCACTGTACTCTCCTGGTGTATTAGGCACGGTACTCTCCTGGTGTATTAGGCACTGCACTTCTGGTGTATTAGGCACGGTACTCTCCT